TCGGCTCTATTGCAAATAAGCTTTAACTGACAGACAGAGAGAGAGAGAGAGAGAGAGAGAGGGAGAGAAACAGACTCTGAGTCAGAGTGAGACAGAGAGAGACTGAGAGTAAATTAAGTGCGTCAATATAGGCGCCTTGGTAACAGCTCTTGACCTAGACTAAAGCCAACTTGAAGCTGCGCTGGGCCTGCGGCAAAATTGTTTTTGGTTTTCTCTTTTTTTTCAGCTGCGGCTTTTGAATTTAGGCGTAACCTTATGCCATGTGCCTCGCACATTTCTTTTTTATTTATATCATATTTTTGCAGTCTTTTTTTTATTTTTTAGAAATTTATTTATCAACGCTTTTTGTATTTCCGCTGCTGCTGCTGCTGCTGTTTGTTCCGCGGGCCGTTTGTTGTTGTTAAATTTCATATACTTCCTCATTTTTAATTTATGACAATGGCCTGGCTATTGTTGTCGGCCAGCCACGCCCACATCGCGCGCACAGTGTTATTGTAACTGATGCTCTTATAAATGGCCGCAGCGCCAGTCTCCTGCCTCCTGCCTACTGTCTCCTGCCTCATGCCGTCGACTCACCGACAACAATTCGTTTGGCGCTTTTATCGCAGCGGTGCGACAGACAGCTCCGGTCAGAGGCGGCTTTTTGGGGCGGGGCGTGGCTCGCGTGAGGTCACTGTGCCTGCCTGCCTGCCTGCCTGCCTGCCTGACTGTCTGACTGCCAGGAACGTGTACACTTTGTATATCCTGTGGCCGCCATTGTCCTTGACTGTTTCATTATGACAGCTGTGCGCTGCTGGCGCTGTCTGCGTACCAGTGCCCCGCCCACTTCCCGCTTGCACTCCTCCACTTCCCCTTCCCCTTGCCACACTCCATTTCCCTTTCCATTCCTGTTGCCCCTGCCCCATTCCATTTTCGTTGATTTTGGTTTTGTTTAGTGGCGCATTTATGCTATTTAAGTGTCATGTTTCCCCTCTCTCTCTCTCTCTCTCTCTCAGACACACATACACTCTCTCGCTCACTTATTGTTACTCTGCGGTGACTAAAACAAAAGCCAAGTGTTGGCATTATTATTATTATTATTATCAACGCGCTTCCTTTTCCGCAGCCAGAGAACAAAAGCAACGCGACAAGATAAAATGCTGCCATTCATGCTCTTGAGTGATTTTAACTGAATTTCATTGGATTATTTTCCTGCATTCTCCATCTATTATATACCTCTCTCCCCCTATACCTCTCTCTCTCCCTGCCTCTCTCTCTCTCTCTCTCTCTCTCTCTCTCTCTATGCCTGTTTATATATACATTTGTACATCTCTTGGTTTCGTGCACAAACTTTAATTCCTTTTGTTCTTGGCTTGCCAGGATTTGACTCGAAGGGGAAGAATCGATTGAGGGCCTGCAAGCTGATGTCAATCAATCCACACAATTGACAGTAATTAAGTTGCTTTGTCAGTACAGTACATTACAGTACTCATTGCATTTGTCGAACAATAATCTCCAGTCATCTCCATGGCAAACACAATTTGAGCTTTGTATGCACAACTTGACTCGATTGCGACTCAAGTGTTGTTCTCATTTACTCTAGCTGGAGTCGTAGCCTCCAATGATGTAGTTTTGATTAGTTTTATAAATATATATAAGATATATCGAGAATATTGCATATATCAAATGCATATATATTTAATAGAACTGGGAATATGGTCAAGTATATATACTATGCATGATATGGGATATCTTGAATTTCATTTAAAATATGGATTTTTGCAAAAATATTTAAGCCTAACATTAATTTTAATAAAAATATTGTGAAATTTTTTACAAAAGTATTTAGTGTCATATATTTAAATATTTATATATTTATTTTTATTTGTTTTTATTTTTATTTATTTTTTTATAGAAAGGTATTATTTTAATTTTTCTTATAAAGATGTTATTATGTATTTTTATACAATTTTTTATTTATATTTTATAATTTGATTCATAATTCTATAATTTGGAATCTCATAGATAAGTTTTTTTTTTTTTTTAGCATAAATTGAAAGAATGGTCACTCTAACTAGCGAAAATATACAAATAATCTAACCTTAACAAAACCTTTTCAACTATTTTTGCTACACCTGGCACCTACTTCTAGCTACAGTCAATATATACATTTAAGATTTGTTGAAAATTTAATTGAATTTATTATTAACATAAGCAAACATGTAATCTGACGACTCAAAACAAAGAGTCTAGCCCTCTCTCTCTATTAAAACTTTAACCCGATTTTACTTTCGCTTGCATAGCACTGCCCAGCATTTCCAACAAGATTATCTGAAGGCATAAATCAATACTTCATTACCTCTCATTCAAATAATATATAAAGAGTTAAATGAGCCAGTTGGATAGAGCTACTTTCCAGTCGGATTCTCTTTGTCTAGCTTTATTAGTAAACCTCTTATTAACTGCTTAGCTTATTTATAATTGAATATCATTTAAATTTATACATATTTATGCTTAGCTAATAATCAATTGAATTGATTCAGCGTGAATAATGCAAATCGCCGGCTTAATCAATTACGTTGAGCAAATCACATGAGCCAGATCAGCTCAGAGCAGGACTCGGCCACAAGTCTGAATTATGTATTTACTTAATTGAATTGAGAATTCATTCTCATTGGCTGCGCGCTGCTCTCTGCTGACGCGGCGCAATATACGCTGATAAATGGCGCAGCTTTGGCAATATATTTCTGCACATTTGGTGCGTTATTAAACGAGGCATCAATGCAGATTTATGTTTATGATATTGCGGCAGTAGCAGCAGCAGCAGTGGTAGCAGTGGCAGCGCCTCGAGACGTGCGGCGCAGCTTCTTCGATTGCCCATATAAATATGCAATTATTTTGCATTTGCCAGCGGCAGCTCGCGCTTTTATTTGCTCGGCGGTCATACGCCATGTTGGCCCTGTTTATGGCACTCGCGACTTTTGGGCGACAGCAAAAGGCAAATCGACTTTTACACACACACATACACCCGCACACACGCGCGCACTCACGCACACATGCGTGAGCTTGCCTCCTGCGGCATTGGAGGGGGGTCGCGGGTGCAAGCGCATTTATTTGCTGATATATTTATATTTATATTTATATTTATGCGCATAATTTGCATTTGACATATATTTGTATATAGAAATCTATTTATTTTTTGCTCGTTGTTTATGTTTTCGCCCGCACAGCGAGCATAAATATATATCAAATTATTGTGCCACTCGAGCGGAGCAGAGACATATGTATGTGCCACGCCCCAATGTACTGGAGCCCCCTACAATAATAAAACACAAGGAATTGATTTAAACAAAGGCATTTGTTTTCTAAATGACGATGAAAAGGAATTTGCAAAAGCATTGCACTGCGAGCATTCTTTATGGCATATCTTTCAACTAGCTTCGTATTGCTCAAATTATCTGAATCAATAAGATTTTCACTTGAGTTTTCATTTGAATTATTTATTTGTTTGCTTAATTGATTTTAAAGCATTTCTCATATCTCAACTAATCGAAGCAATCAAAGTGAATAAATTGACAACAATTAATTAATAATATAATAAATAAGTTATTATTGTATTAATATATAGCGAGGAAAAACACTTAAGCTTAATATTTAAAAAAAATAGTTTGAAACGAATATTAAGATAAACATTTATATTTATTTAAATGAGATCAGCTTTATCACATATGTAGATCAGTTCTTATTCGACGCTCTTTCTTTATATCTATACAGGCTCAAGGCGGTCATTTGAGAGATGAAATAATAAATAAGACTCATGTGGCAACCCTGTATATGACAATCCTATATTTGGCAGTCCTATGTCTGGCAACCCCATTTCTATATCTTTCAAGCTCAAGGCGGCCAAAAAGTGATGTCAATAAATCTACTTGAACCAAATAAAATGATTATTAACATCAGCATCAAATAATTTGTAATATATATAATATATATTCTCTCTCTCTCTCTCTCTCTCTCTCTCTCTTGCTCTCTCTCTCTCCTTCTATCTCTCTCTCGCTCTATCTGCTCCCTCCTTTTGGTCTTTAAACTAACTCATTCCATGAAGCTCCTGCCTCGATATTCCTGTTGCAAATTTAATGTATGTATGTAGTATGAATAGCCGATGGTAATAATATCTCTTTTCCAGTATATATATATACATATACCCATATATTATACAATACATATAATAATGCATTATTTCAGTAAATATACATACATATATACAATATAATATCAGCAAATATGATCTGATCTGAAACAATATGACTCCCGTTCTGTCATAAGTAGTCGAATGCCGACCCAAATGAAAATAAAACATATCGAACCAAATATTGAATGCAAACAATCTGCGTGTGTGTGTGTGTGTATGTGTGCTTGTGTTTGTATCCGTGTAGGCTTAAGTATTTATTATGTATTCGGATTCTGTATGCACTTTGTCTTTAATGTATTACAAATTGAAATGCATTGTGAAATTGTGAGTCATGTTTTCACACACAGCCAGCATTTATTTGTTTGCTGTTGTAAATGGTGTTGTTGCTGTTGTTGTTGTTGTTGTTGTTGCTGTTGCTGCTGCTGCCTTTTGCGGCAGCGATAAGCTCTTTGCATATAACCATATCGCATTTTATTTGCCCCGCTAGCAGCTTCGACATCGACATCAACATCAGCAGCAAGAAAATATTTGTTCATTTAAGATAAATTTATGACTGTTGTCGATGCAAATTGTTGCATTTATTGAATTGTTGCTGCTGTTGCTGCTGCTGTTGCCAAAGCTCGTAAATAGTTGTGCAAATAAATTGTGAGCGTATATAAATCGCGGCTCTTATGATAGGTGTGTGCATCACACATACACACACATACAGCTGCACTTAAAAGCGCGCTTAATCACGTGCATAAATATTTGAAAATGAAATTGAAGCCCCGCTTTAGTAGTTCTTGCTGCCCCCAGCCCCCTCCCCGCTCCCACCTGCCCCACTACTTACCATGCAGCAGGAGGCCGAGTAGTAGCAGCAGCATCGCCATCAACAGCGACATCGACGTCGGCGCCGGCTGCGTCTCTGGCGGGTGAGTCATTCTCGAATCCTTTCCAATTTCGTATGTAATCCGCGCGCAGCTACTAGTTTAATAGCGTCTTTAGCTGCTGCTGCTGCTGCTGCTGGTGTTGGTGTTGGTGTTGATGCTGGTGACGTTGTCCTTTGGGCGCATGGAGCGGAAACGCTTTTACATTGCCGCGATAACAAACGGAAATGCGCGCCTGCCACAAAAGGAGGCGCAGGATGCGCAGCAGTTGGCTGCCAGTTTGCCTGCTGCTAAATGCTCCGGTTGCCCAGTGTCGCTTCTCCTTCTCTCTCTCACTCTCACTCTCACTCTCACTCTCACTCACTATCTGCCCTTTTTTTTTTTTTTTTTTATTGTTTTTATGTCGTTTTTTTATGATTTTCCTTTTTTGGTCTATGTGAGGCGCCTTGTCGTGTCAAGTCGCTGCCGCTGATAATATTTATGCCTTGCTGCTGGCTCTTTAAGCATTCGCCTCGTCACGCCTCGCCTCTATGCTAATTGTATTAAAGGTTTGTCGAATTAAATTTTTGCCAGCTCACTGTCAAAATCCTTATTCAAGATTTATGGCTGTCTGCTGTTACAGCTGCTGCTGCTGCTGCTCCGAGAATTTATATACGTCGCCTCGACTTACAGACATTGGCAAAGACCTGCTTAGGCATTGGCTTAAAGTTCAGACAGACACGCACGATCTGGCTGCCGGGCTGCCACACTGCCTGGCTGACTGCTTGGGCTAGGGTTTCTTAGCTGGCTGCTGGCTGCTGGCTGCTGGCAGCGCCGGAAGGCACGAAGCTGATTGTTGCACTTGCGGCCCCCGGGGCGTATACGTCATGCGGCTTGTCGGCATGTTCTATCCATGACAGCGAGGGCCAGCGAGAGGCAAGGGAGAAGGAACAGGGGACAGCGGCACAGCGGAACAGAAACAATGTTGAATTTCATCTAATGCACTCACAGATAAGGCGCAAATGCGTCAATCAGAGACTGTGTAGCCGCAGATGTTGGAGATTTCATGCGATGATGTAGAGAAGAAAGATACATGGATATATACATATACATATATATATATATATGTATATATATAGATTTTTATGTTCATATAAATCATTCACTTATATAGGCACATTGATTTCTATATAGATATAAATCATCCTCTTATATAAATATACATATATACATAACATACATATATTCATATATCGTCTTGAAACTTAAGGGTTTTCGCATTACATTTGTTCTCTATTTCATACATTTAATGCAAATTTAATTTATCATAGAGTCTAAGCTCAAAGTGTACAAAATTATTAGATCATCAATTAAAATATATTTATGAATATTTAATTATTAAAATATAATATAAAAACATAAAAAAAATATAAATTAATAATTAAAAATTTATTTTATAAACCTAATTTATTGAAAAATTAATTGAATTTAATTATTGCATTATTTATTGTATTCTTTATTGTATCAGTTTAATTTGTTAAATTAAATTAATTTAATTTAATTCTTAAATTATTTGTTGTTAAATAATAATAGAATATAATTTTTTTTTTGTAATAAAAATTTATAAATTATGATATAAACCTAATTCATTAAATTAAATTAATTTAATTTTATTTTTTATTGACTCAATTTGTTATATTAAATAAAATTAATTGGATTTAATTCTTTAATCATTTATTGTTAAGTAATAATATAAATTAGAATATTTAATTAAAATGAAATAAATAAAATAATATAAATAATAAAGTAAACATATAACAACTAAAATGCCTTCAATAAACCCCATTTTATGAGTTATTAAGTGCATATTTAAGAGACAAAAATCTGTCAGGCATTGGCTTTGCTCTCCCCCGTTCGCCCTGCCATAAACCAACAAAGTTTAGAGCCTGGCAGAGGGCAGCGCTTCAATGAAGTCTGAATACTCTCTAAATACTGATGTTCAATGATTGCCGAGCTGCATGCAAATTCATTTGTCTGAATGCCAATTGTGAATGCGAAGGCAAGCGAAGCTCTAAAGCCTGCAAGGCAAAGCTGAAGCGTTTGTCTGGCACGCCTGCCACGTCTGCCACGCCTACAGCGCGACCTCGCCTGAGCTGGCAAATGCGGCGCAAATCAAATTGGTCGCCAAATGTTGGCTGGCCGGCGTCAAAAGCCATCCATCAAGGACGACAGCCTTAGGCGGGCGCAACTTGCCATGAAATTGGCTGCGAGCGAGACGGAGACTCGAACGGGCGCTGAGACAGAGACTGTGACTGAGACTGGGAACCGCCACTCGAGACTTAATAAACTGCACAGACACAAATACACACACAAAAAAAAAAAAAAGAGCGAAAAGCGAACGGGGTGAGGGGACAGAAATGACAGCAGGATAAACAGCAAAAATGTGCATGTAAATAAATAAATGCTTAACTCTTTCAAAGCCAGCAAAGAAATAAAAAATAAATAAATACAAAATAAAAGAAAAAACAAAAAATTGTTGTATGCGAGGGGCGTGAGTCGCGTGTGGCACATACTTATAAAGAGTATTTGGCCCAGCAGCCCCAGCGGCATTAACATCAATTCATCATCACAGTGCGGCGCAGCAGTATGCGCACAGCAGTCTGTTTAATTTTTGGCAACAAAAAGTGCGGTACGTCAAAGGGCCGGAGGCGAAAAAAAGGGGTGGCTCGACAGAGTGGACAATATGCGACGAACAGATACCTTAACTAGTTAGGGAGAGAGATGCAAGAGATAGAGATGATAGACTAGAAATGAAAACAATATTGACATAATAACAGAGTAGAAACGGTAATAGAGGAAACTGAGGTAAAAATATTGAGATATGGGCAGAGTGGAAATGGAGTTACTGCGGGAAACTGAAGATATTGAGTTGATCAGGTAAGCCTGACAAAATTTTTACTGCAATTGAAGAAGATCATTAATCAATTATCGATATCTCTGCAGATCTCTATGTAAAACTCTTACTTAGTCTGGCTGACAAGACTCATAGATCTCGATTTTTTGCCGGGTCATAGAGATTTAATTGTATAAGAAATTATTTAGTTATTGCCATTCGAATTTGTTATCTTATTATCTTTATCTCTTATGCTTTTCAAGTAAAAAATGTAAATATATCAAAAATGAATAAGCTGTAAAAATATTGAATAATTTATTTAGGCAGGCTGGTTAAATAATTAATTAAAAAATATCTTTAAAAAATGGAGAAAAAATAAAAAATATGATATATATAACTGGTAAGCTTTATTTCATAAGCCAACGTAAATATATAAATACTAATTGCCAACCGATATCGATGTATATCGAAAATCAACCAGTTTTCCGTTTATCATGCTTAAATATGATTCATAAATGCTGAACTTAATAAAAAACTAATTAGTGAATAATTCAATTGAATGTTGAGCTTAATATTTTCTACTGCAAATATTTGGAGTATGCGAATTAGTTTCCAAATCAATATACATATATCGATAGTTGAGAAAATAAAACGTATATTATAGATAATATTCTTCTTCTATTCTATCTTGGGGTATATCGACTTTTTATACCATTTTCTACAAATATTGGTTTCTAAATAGATGCATACAAAAACTCAGGATGTTTTAATAGATATTGATGCTTATATTTGATTGACAAATGCAGAGGTTAATTATTTTTAAAAATATTTAAAAAATTATACAAAATTATGAAAATGTATGTTTTAATTTTAACTCATATTCCATCTACTGCAAATAGACTCATACGAAAATAAAAAAAAAATAAAAAAACAGATTTAAAATTTATAATGAATTTGTTGGCTCATCTCATAAATCGTCAGCTCTCTCTCTCTCTTTCTCTCACAAACGCAGGGTATCAAAAACGGAGTATATCTGATAGAGGAACTGCTGCTGCTGCTGCTGATGTATTCGTGCTGTACATCAAGTCAACCAGTTGGGCTTAAATCTAGACGCCGCCTCGCAAATGCAGCCAAAAGCAGGCAGTGGCAGTGGCTCGCGTTGCCAACATGACCACAGTCCATGTTGTTGTTGTTGTTGTTGCTGTTGTTGTCGATGCGGGTTGCTCATATGCATAGGCTTTAAATACAGCTTGACTGTTTTTTTTTTGTCTGCTCTTATTATATGTGTGTGTGTGTGTTTGTGTATGTTTTTTTTTGTGGTGTAGTCCCTGTTGTTGTTGTTGCTGCGGCTGTGGCTGGCGTTTTCTAAACAAGCGGGTAAAACACCATGAGTCAAATAAATTACCCCAGCATTGTTGTTGGCAAATTTTTGATGGTTTAATTTTGTGGAAAATAAGTTGAGCCGCTGCGTGGCTGCTGTTGCTGTGGCCATACATACACACACACACGCACACACACAGCACACATGGGCACATAAGTCATATGGCCCTTTTTTTTGTGGGGCCGCACAACGCTGCGTATACGCAATAAAATAAACGCGCCGCAGTTACAATTTTGCGCGCTGTTCGCGCTCGACGCGGCGCACATTTTATGCCGCATTGCCAGTTTTATTTATTTATTTTTATTTGCCCAGCGCCCCTTTATTCATGCATTTATAAATTATTGTTGCGTCCCCCCTCCCCTGCTGCCTAAGCATGTACTTATGTATTTGTATTTGTTTGCTTGTATGCGCGTGTATGTCACTTGAAGTGCTTTGCATTTTCAATTTGCTAGCTCACCTCCTTCTGCTCACAAAAAAAGTGAGAGAGAACAGCATTGCATATTTGTATTAAAAATTTATGATCTAATGAGCTCCACTCCTCACACACACACACACACAACTACACAGCCAACGTTGTTAAAGTGCCTGTCAAATAAATTAACCAGTTGTTTAGCAATTTGCCTGCTTTAAATTTCAATCTGCTGCAAGTCAAGTCGAGCACTTCATTTTGAACTGCCTGCCCTTGTGATATGCTTATGTGGAGTACTGCACTCGAGTTGTCATTACCCTCCATTAAAGTCGACTTCAAATGAAAGCAACTTCCGCTTTCCCTCCCCTTTTACGGGTGTTCATTGTGCTGCTGCTATTTTGGGCGCTGTCAGTTTTTCTTTCCCATTACGGTCTATCAATAATGCTTTGGCTTTAAACAAATATATATACATATATATGTATATGCTAACTCATCATTCAGCCACATCATCAGCATCATCATCATCATCATCATCGACATAATCGACATGATGATCACGCGCAACCATCAACTTGATGCTACCCCTGTGACATTGTCAAAAGGGTTTAAGTGCCAGCTCTTGAGCAGCGAACAACCAGCTATGAGCAGGAGCAGCAGGAGCAGCAGGAGCAGCACCAGCAGCAGGAGAAGAGGCAGCTGACAGTCATCCCCTTATTGCTAGACAAATATTCAGGCAAAAGGTTTGCTTTGAGCGTTCTGGAAACGTGACGAGCAACTTGTACGCTCAACTCTATAATCTTAAAGCAATGATACGCCTAGCTTTAAGCTAGCTGCTTCAATTTATTGTGCATAAATATTCCATTGATTTGGGCTGGCATAGAAAATTAGCTATTAGAAAATCGATAGGAAAATAACTAAATATTGAATATGGAATATATACATGAATAATATATGGAGTGTATATTTGTAATTGAATGCTCTAATGAGCACGAATCAATATTTCCTATTTGCATTTATATATCTTAAAAAAAACTCCTAAATTAATATATAATTTTAATTACTTTTTGCCTTATCTTATTGTATTGATCGTCATAGTAGAAATATAATGAAATAAATATACACATAAACATTAATATAAATATAATTGGATAGATATAAAATACTATGTTTAACCAAAGAATAAAATTAATAAGATATAATTAAAGTTATATATAGAAAATATGGTAAGAATTATATCGATTGATATAGGTGATGATAGATGTAATACTTATAGTTAATCCTAATATAGAAATGAACTAAGCTCTTTAAATTAATATTATATTAAAAAATTTGTAGTAAAAGGATTCATACAAAATTGAAGAGAATCGGAAAATAGTCTAAGGCTACTGTACATTTTTTATTAGTCAGCAAAGTTAATACTAATAATAAAAACAATAATGGTAAACATTTTTCTAGCTTTAACATTGTTAATACTTATAGTAAAAAATATTATTCATAATTTAAATTGATTTATTGATAAAAAGTTATTTGGTATTAACATTTAGAAATATGTTTTCTTTTTATTAAACAACAAATAAAATAAAATTATTTACAAACTGGAATACAAAGCAACTTTTTATTTTTTGAAATTAATTTTATCTATACAAAATTATTAGATCTTTATTTAAAATAAACTATTTATTAAAAAACAAAAAAAATCTAAAATTATTTTTTTAGCAAATAAATTTTTAAAATATAATTTTTGTTTAGTATTAAAAAAATAAAAAAAACTTTTAGAGCAGAAATTAATCTATATAATAATTGCGAACGATTCATTAAAAGTAATTAAATATAAAACAAATAATAAATATAAAAGAAATAATAAATTTATATATTGAATGAATATAGTAATTATTATAGAGATTATTAAAGATTTGGCTCATAATTTTTAGGGAAATATGATTCCTTAAATATTTAAATATTTAATTAAATAACGAATTTAAAAAAATCTAATGACTTTAAGTATTTCCATATTATCACACATATAAATAATCAAAATAAACTCAGCTCTTATCGAAACACAATCACATCTCTGTTAGCCACGTCTTGCTATTGATTCATCGGAATCTATGATTAGTTTCTGCTGTTCGAGCATGAAACTCGGTTCTCAAAGTAATTCTGTCTCATTGGGCCTCTCGATGGGGCTGTAACAAGCGCGACCAATTCACTTCACACTTAATTATGCTGGCCTTTGTCAGTGCTTTGGCGACGTTACAGAGGCGTTACGTGCCACGCCCACTCTCAACACCTTCAGCCTTCAGTAGCCGAATCGAATGGGGGCGTGGCAGATGGCTGCACGAGGCCTGCCGCCTCGACACGGCCTCAAATCGCCAAACAATAAACAATTAATTACGGTGCAAAGTCGATGCCTTCGACATATAAAGGGTCTAATTAAAAAGTTGTAAATGCTTGCGGAAATCAAGCAACAAAAATTTAACAACAACAACAACAACAACAGAGGGAGAGGCAGTGGCAGAGGCAGCGGCAGCGGCAGCTTTTTAATGCGGCTGCTGCAGAAAGGATTTAGTGGCAAGGGCATGGCAAAAGTCGTAAAGGAAAAAAAAAAATGAAGAAAAAACACGCAATTCACCTTCGTCATTGTCATGTTAATTAATTTGGTAGCACTCGAGCAGTCAAGTTGGCAATTTCGGCTGCTCAACCTTTGACCTCTTGCCAATGCCAGCAGAAAATGTCAAAAGCATGCGTAGCAACAATAACAGGGACGCCCTGCGCTTCGCACTTGTTAAGGCTTTTCAATGGCCATCAATTTTTAATGGCCATCTTGGGCAAAGGTTTAGCCAGGACCTTGTCCACGCTCACGTTGTTGTCCATGTGCAGCCACAGTTCAATGCCTTCGACATGGTTCATTGGGCCCACCTGGCAAGGATTAACACTAGACAGCCGGCAGAAGAGACAGCCAGACAGTTAGACAGACAGACAGAGAGACAGAAAGACAGATAACAGCCGGGCAGACAAACACTCCAAGTCGCACTCACTTCACGTGACTCGGGCTTTACGTCTTTTTCGTTAGCGCACGCTGCGTTTGCGACGTGTGTGGCACGCGTTGACCTCTGCACGCACAGAAGGCTTTTCGAGACTGATGCTGGGCCAATTGCTCGGCGCGCACAGCGTGTAGCCAAAGCGACGTCGACGGCGGCAGCGGCAGCGGCAGCACCGTCAGCGTCGCTGTCGCTTACGACAGAGCTAACTTGTTTCTCGCCTCAGTCATCGTCGGTTCCTTTTAGGAATGTTTCCCTGTTGATGTTGTTGTTGTTGTTGTTGTTGTTACTTCTGCTTGTCGACATCTCTTCGTTCAACTCATGAGACGAAGACACCGCAATTGCTGCTGCTACTCCTGCTACTCCTGCTGCTGCTGCTACTCCTGCTGTTGTCTTTTGGCCGTGCCGTCAGCCAGGACATTAGCGGCAGCGCTCAGCGTAACATATTGTCGTATCAAGGACGAAGTTCAACACTTCGTCACCTGCCTCAACAATGTTCAGCGTTCGGTTTTACATTTGTCGCGCCTCTGCCACTGCCACTCCCACTCACCCTTCTACAGCGCCTTCTGCTCTGCCATTGTCTGCGATTGCATTTGGTCTCTTTTGTCGCTCTGTCGCCAGGTATTCGTGCGACTCTCTTAAGCGACGCTGGGCGACTACTGTTACTGGTTTAGTTTTGAGCACTGCTGTTAGCCAAATGTTAAATAACAGTCATATAAGTTATCAGAAATTCTTTTAAAAATGCATTCATTTTAAGTATTCGTTTAGTTCTCACATTCTGTTCGCCCAACAGCGCTTAACATAATTGCAGACTGTTAGGCTAACAGCGCTGCTCAAAAGTCTCCACTCTGTCAACGCGCTGCTACGCTCGCTGTTAGCCTTAACATTGCATGTTGCTGCCAAAGCAGCTTCGTTAGCGGCTTTGTTCGACATTCAAGTATTTTGCCTCAGACAGAATTTCAGACATTTGGCAATTACATTGGCTCAGACAATGGGCATGAAAATCCTTCGTTTTAACATTATTTTGGCCATTTTTTTGCTTTTCTGCTTTGCTTTTTTGATGGGTCGCAATAAAAGCGACTGGCGGAGGGCGAGCAGCGGGCCTTTTCGGCCACTTCACGTAGCCAAGATTCGTTTGGATATTTAATGGCATTTGCGCTCGTAAAGTTTTGAGTGTATCTTTCTTCGGAGACGGCAGAGAAATGCAAAGCACAGAACGACAATGTAGTCGGACAGCAATTATCTTTGACTTGCTTTTGCTATTAGCCACTGACCGGGTCCGGGGCCGGGTCGGCGTCTGGGTCCGGGTCCGGCAATGTCCCTCCCTCCTGTGAGCCGTCAACTATTTGCGCGTATATCTTACGCATATTTTATGTGCCAAAATGTTGGACTCGACTTTTATGGCCGCAAAGTTAAGCGGCCCAGGCAAGAGTAACAGACTAGAACATGGCCCCGAATCGAGTCCGATGTAATTTATATGCATGCATACATAAATATTGTGCGCTTGTCTGCAGATCTAGCTAGACGCCGCAAGCGCTTATTAATGGAGTTTGCAGTAAAGCTGAAGATTATATATGAATTAGGTAGTAGTTGCGATGTAATAGGTATTTGCTTACGTAATAACAGATAGCTCATGTTCTTGCATATGTGTGTGTGCTTTATGTTAAGCAATGAATAAAGTGATATATGATATGTGCTCCAGATGGGGCTAGAATTAGGAGATAAACTCGGGGAGAAGCTGCTATGGGAAGTCAATTGAGCAATTTGTATCGATAGTGAGGAAATGGCTTGAGTTAGAGAATATTCTGGTATAGTATAGGTTTCAGAAATATATATAACATTTTGAAGTATGAGACCCTAGCTTTAGTTCCAGTTAATATTCTTTTTAAATATTACCAAGGGCTATAAATAAATAATAAATATTTCAAGGTACAAGTATAAAGATTTTATGGTTTACGACATATTTGCGTTCACACGGTCGGAACAGAGAGAAAGATGAATTAACGTGGCTATATAGACGGAATTCTTTGTTCTGATCAGGTGTATATATTGTTGACTTGTTGCTTTTAGTCGAATTTGTCGGATCGGCAGAGGAGTTGGAGTTTTTTTATCGTTAATTTATTTAATTTAATTTAAATGTATTTCTAAATGATTTATTTATTTACTTTCGTGCATATTATTTATAATAAAAATATAATAAAATATTTTAGAAATATTTATAAGTACTTTGCAATTTAACTGAAACTAATATATACCAGAGATATTGTTACATACTCTGCATATATGTGCGTTTATTCTTTTTTTATATTTAATGAACATAGCCTTATGAACAGATGCACTCGTTTCCTTTCCTTCTTTCCCTTCTGACTAACTTAGAAGAGTCGGTCTCCAAACAATAAAATGTCGTTATTATTCCTTTTTATACTCATTCACGAAAGTGAATCATTATACTCATTCACGAAAGTGAATCAGTATATTGGTTTTGTGCAATGTCCGTCTTGCTGTCCGTCCGTCTGTCCGTCTGTCCGTCCGTCCGTCTGTCCGTATGAACGCAATCTATTTCGGCGCTATTGAAGCTAGAGACTTGAAATTTGGAACACATACTCGTGTATATCTCCGATTTATAAAGTGTTAAAATTTTCCCGATCCGCCCACTAGGGGCGTGGCAAATCGGAAAATGCATTTTCCGATATACCAGAAATCATGTTAGTTCAAGAGCTAGAAAGCTGAAATTTGGTATGTAGGTCCGCGTTGACCACCCAAGATCACGAGCTATGGCGGATATATCTACGCCCATTGGGGGCGTGGCAAATCGGATAAAACTGTATCTCCTAAAGTTGTAAACCTAGAATGCTGAAATTTTGCACGTCAGCTAATGGTATGACTCTATAAAGTCGAAAGATAAAATTATAAGTCTATGCCCATTGGGGGCGTGGCAAATCGGACCTGAAGATATAGTGATTTTTTAAATTCTCCTATATTTTGAACACTATTGATGGCAGATACCTCAAATTGTGTATATATACTCGGACTGATCACCCAAGACCAAAAAGTTTTGTCGGATATATGTCCGCCCACAGGGGGCGTGGCAAACCACAAAAGTTTATATCTCCTAAAGTATAATAGCTAGAAGCTTTAAATTTGGATAGTTTAGTTACTGGTAGCCTCCTCTATCGATTCCCCAAAAATAATTTTTACGCCTCTTTAGGGGCGTGGCATATCGGAAAATACCCTGTAATTTTCACATTTTTTAAGGTTAAGCATTCAAACTTTGCAGTTAGGATACCGTTATCTCTTTCTAAAAACTGACCAAAAATGAGGTGTCTACGCCCAGTTGGGGCGTGGCAAATCGGAAAAACCTGTATATTCTACAGTATTAGAGCGAAACTTAACTACTAAATTGTTGATGGGATGTGAATGAGTATTCCGGAGTCGGTAACGCCCGACTGCAACGTTCTTACTTGTTGTTTCTTAGCTTTTGAAATTATTATAAATTGTATCAAAAATGATTAAGAACTAAGTGAGCTTCATTCCTGTAACCTTAATCTAATAGCTTACATTTACATTTCATTGATACAATCTATAAAAAAGAGATTTTATTGATTTCCTTGATTCTTTGAAATCAGCCTTACTTTCTTTCTTTTAAGTCAGCTGTAAATAAATAACAATCTCTGCCACGCCTTCTTCTGCCCCTTACGTACGTTTTCATAACTGGTTTTAGGGTACTAAATTCATTCCTCTCAGTTAAACATTTAACATGCTTTTATCAATCCTTCTCCACTTGTAACATTTCATTCGCAGATCTCACGTTTCTGCTGCTGATTGAGCTTAAATGCGAATCAGGCAAGTTTCATGTGTAAGCAGAGGCGTTCAGTTGAGCTAATCGCAGTTAGCAACACCAGCAACAACACCAGCAACAACACCAGCAACAATAACAACAACAACAACCGCAGCAACATCAATGTCAACAGCAATTTAGAAATTTCGCTTGAAGTAACGAAAAAACTTGTTCGCGTTTCATGTGTTTTTCTTCATGCAGCGCGTTAATTTCCGTGGATAATAGTTTCGTCTTGGTGCTGGCGGCCACAAGACAGATTCCTGTGTGGCCCCAAGGCCCTCCCCCGCCCTTCCCCCCACTGCGAGCTGTTGGCTGACATGTTGAATGTTGTCGTCGTTCGTCTTGCTCATGTTTGGCTCGAGTTGCGTGTGCGTGGAAAAACTCGTCAAGTTCGCAGCTCGGCTTTAAGTTGTCGGCCCGAAGGGACAGAGCTTGGCTAAGCCAGCAAACAAAATTGATATACCCGTCGAATGGGTTTTGGCAGTGGGCTAGCCAGCTCCGCGTGAAATTGTTTGCGTCCAGCCACGGACATGTTTTATGGCCAGCTCCAGTTGCGCGCTCATGTCATAGTCAAATTGACCAGAGTTCAGGCACAGCAAAAGAAAAAACTAAAAAAAAACAACAAATGTCACAGCCACTGACCCAGACATCAGCAGGCCAAAAGAAAACAGAACAGAAAACCAACAGAAAATAGAAAAGAGTGGAAGGACTTGTCGAGACAATTGCAGCTACGCATTCGGCGTATCCTTGCCGGGTGCCAAGTCCTTGGGGAGCAAGGGCTGCATTGTTTGGATTGTTTATGGCTTGTTGATTCGTGCATGCGATAAAGCATTTATTTTTGTCGCTCTCCTGCAGCTGGAGAGCATCGCAGAAGCCCAACTAGAAATGAGCCACGGAAATTGCACTCCAGAGAGAGTAGGGCAGGGGGAGAGAGGGGAAAGGGGAGATAGTAAGCCTTTTGTTGCAGCAGCTGCTGAATATGTTTTAGTGAGAATAAATTTAGCTTCATTTTATTTGCAATCTGCTTAGATCAGACTTCGTAGACTTAAAATAGAT